AAGTCAAACACGACTTGATTTCGTTAAATGTTTTGTTTGTGATATCAATAGTTAATATAAATTTAAAGACAAAAATTAGATATATGTATATATTTTTATCAATTTGTTTGTCGTTATAATTAAGTTATAAAATTACAATTAAGTAATAATAACAGTGTTTATAATATATATTGATTGCAAAGAGAAAAGTGAAAACAATATGATTTATATATATATCGTCATAAATATCGATAAAACTCTGTTTCGTTACAATTTACTTATAACTGTATAATAAGTAATAATAAGAATATTCTGTATAATCATTGTATTGAATGTATAAACGGATCCGAAAACAAACAAAACGAAAAACAACTCGAAAAGCGATACAAAAAACGGGAAAACATATCATAAAACTGATGAATGAATGACAAAAATAATAGCCTCTAAAGGCTACCATCCCCTCCTCCCCCTGACCACGGAGGACATGGCGTTTAGTCGAGCAGTCGAATAACACAGATAACCAGATCTCCCAACCCGTTCAACAACTTTTTCGACGTCGACTTCTTCTTCGCCACAATACCCGCATTCGCACCACTCGTGCGCCCATTCATCGACCCATCCGTCGGCGACATGTCGGCGCTCAACACCCTATCATCAGCCAAACGGCTGCCCCGGGCCGGCGACTGGTCGACAAACGCGCGCCTGACGTCCAACTTGCGGCCCGTCAGGTGGACAGGCAGTGGCCACTGGGCGTCGCCGGTGAGCCGGGCCAGGAGGGCCTGGCGTTCCTGTTCGGACAGCAGGTCGCCGGCGTGCGGACCCCTCATGAACTCGTCGGCCGTCATCGTCAGATACCGGGGACAGTAGAGGGCTTTGCCGAGCACTGAGCGCCGGTTGTCGGCCGTCAACTCGCGGCACTCGCGCGCGCACTGCTGGCACGACCAGCTTTTGATGGCCTCCCACACCGTCGACTCGGTGGCCACGTTTAGGGTGTCCCGGCTCAGTATCTTCACGACCAGGTCGTGCTCGAGGTTCGCGAACGCCTCCGACTCGAGTATGACGGCTGCCTCCCTGTCCAGCGTGTGGTAGCACCGGGTGATCAGCTCGTTCAGCACGTTGTCGCAGTTGCTGTGGAACTGGAGTGAGGACTGGCGGTTGAGTGCCGACGGAGATGATGGGCACCCGCCAGCGCCGTTAAACGTGTTGATGTCAGGCGCCAAGTAGGCCGGCCTCAGGTACGAGAACTGCGTGAAGTGGGCCAACATGTCGAGCACGTTGTCGGCCCGGCAGTGGTCGTACAGGAATGCGAGGCATTGGCGGCACAAGTCGTTCAGTAGGAATTGGTTGGCGGCCGTGAATAGGGTGAGCGCCGTCGGCACCGACCCCATCGCGATCTCATTCGTGTAGATGTATCTGTGGTTTGAAGTAAAATTGGGTTTTAATTAAATGTAGTATTTTTGTAATCAAATATTGTTTTTGTAAATGATATGTAGTTTTGAATATGAAATTCACATTCAATTTTCGTAGCGATTAAGCAGTTTTTGATCGAATTTAGTATAACACTGTTATTTGTAATTTAATTTTTAATAACTAGCTAATTTAGGCGTATAGAAGTTGATAGTTTTAGTCGCTAGATAAATATTTTAATGATTTTAATTTATATAATACTTAACTAAACATTGAGACCTCTTATCATAAATAGTGTTTGAAAATGTATTCATATTTCTAAATATCATGTAATATTAAACAATTTTATTATTATTAACCAATACTAATGAACAGACTATACATCCCTTTAGTGACTATTATTTCTGTTCGTAATTACAAAGGATTTCCTTTCAATACAATATATCCAAATATAAACTGAATGACTATTTTGGAAATATATTTTCGTATCAAATTTTACTAACTTGTAAGCAAAACAATCAAAATATGATAATTAAAAACATAATAATAATTATTAAATTATAAATAAATAGCACCTATTAATGTATACTACCCAACTATGCAATTTATAAACAAAACTAATAATATTAAACAAAAGAAAATTCTTAGAAACTAGCTAATTCATATGATTTTCCAAACACTGTTCAAATATATATATATTAATATATATACCATTTAATATAATTATAATCATAATCATTAATGATTGCAACTAAACAAATGAACAGTATAAGTAATCTAATATACTCTGGCTAATAAATTAATAAGTTACAGTATAGTGAGATTAAAATAAATTATCTCGTTTATATCAAGAATCTACAAAAACATTACTACACCAAAAAGGTGTACAAAAACGGACCGTTACCTCAAAATGATGCGAAACACCTCAGGCTTGCAGTAATTGATTTGCCTGATAGTGGTCTGCTGTTGACCGGTGCGGTCGGTGGTGTCGACGATGGCTTTGAACACAGGGCTGGCGTTCTCGACGATGAACGAGTGGGCCGGTATGCGCCAACTCGGCTCACCTTCGTTGCCCACCATAAACACAATGTCCGACTGCTCCTCGCTGTTGAACAGCACCAGACCCGGACTGGGGGCCGAGGGCTGGGAGGTGGCCGAGTGGTGGCTATCGTTGGGCGCCATCGGGGGGCCTGCGGTGGTGGTGGCGGTTGGTGTGGACGAGACGGACGACGAGCTCGTGGGCGGCGATGAGGAGGACGTGGATGAGGACGAGGATGTGTTGGTGAGCTGTGGTGAGGGAGACTCGACCGATAGGTACCGAACGACACGATTCTTGGGACTCGACTTTGCTTTTCGTTTTTTGTTACACGAAATGCACTAAAAAATATGGAAAAAAGTTTTTTGTTTTAAAATATGAGAACAGATTTATAGGCCCGACAGGCGATAGACGTGAATATAATTATAGACACAAACAAACTAAAGACAATAAATAATTGGCTTTAATTTCATGTGAATTATAAGTTTTTGGAGATAATATATACAAAACTCGCGTTTCTTCGCATTGTATTTATGGTTGAATTTCAAAGAGTTTTGGATTTCTATCGCTTTTGGATGCGATAATAAAATATATGCAATAATAATAAATATATTTTCGACATTAATTGCAAATATATGCTGAGTATGTTTGAACGAGTTAGCGAATTGTATAAATAATTTATAGCTACAAATGTTTATTTTAGTCAAAATCTATGTAAAAA